CATAAGTTGCTCAAGTTTTTTTTGTTGGAAAAGTAAGGATTCTCCTTCACAAAACTGATTTAGTTTCAAATTAAGATATACGTGAAAATAATTGGGAGGCAGAAGGGTTGAAATATAAGCCAATACAACAAGTAAACAACATAAAAAAATTACAATAATACTAATAATAATTATTATTATTATAACAATAACGAAGTATAATACAATAATGATAACAATAAAAAATGACATGCATATTTGGATGTGAAATGTGAACAGTGGATACCGTTGGAACCGCACTACAAAAGCATGCAATTCCGGCAGCTTTGACCCCAGCACGTACGCCCTCTGCACAGTTTAGAAGGGAAAGCAAGCCCATTAAAACTATTCTTTCAGTAAATGAAAATGAACTAAGAATTAAGTGATGAACATTTTATGTATAGATCAATACTCTAGCTTTGCAAATAATATAACAAAGGGGGAATTTGACTTTGCACCCCACTTTTCGGGTGATATTGGACTTTGCACCCCAATTTTTAAAAAACTTTGACTTTGCACCCCATCACATAACATTTTGTGAAGAAAAATTTGTGAATGGGGTGCAAAGTTAAAGGATTTTAAGTGAAATGGGGTGCAAAGTCAAATATCACCCCAAAAGTGGGGTGCAAAGTCAAATTCCGCCTATAACAGAGGATATTAAATATGCCTCTTCAGAAAAGATGAAAAATGCATGCATGTTTGTTGCCCCTACCCAGCTTACAATCTTATATCTCCACTTAAAGTAATAGGCCTTACTCCTAAATTCCTACACCATGCATAACCATGACATTGTTTCTCTTAAATTTATTTCTGAGCTTATCTGCTCAAAAAATAGAAGTTTTGCAACCACTAAAACCATGTTTGGTTGCTGAGAAATCATTCTCTTCCGGCCTTGCTTATTCTGAAAAACAGCACAGTCCATCTTTTGGTTGGTGATAAATCATTTTCTTCCTTATTCCAAAAAATATCACACATTCACACTTCACTGTTGGGTTGGTGCATTCATTTTTTCATTGGAGAATTATTTCCTTGACTTTGAAAAATAATCCAACCCCTGGGATTATTTTCCCCGTGACATAAAGAAAAAAGAAAAAAATGCATAACTGAACATTAATGTGCAAGAAACTGGTAATTGACATTGATATAAAGTAATATTACCTCTGTCCCATTGAAATTTGTCAACTTTATGTTGGGTGTGAAATAAGAAAAGTAAAAACTTTGTAGTTGAGGTTTGTGCAGAGGAAAGAGAAATTGAACCACAAATTCAATACTTTAAAAGGAAAGTGACAAATATTTTGGGACAAACAAAAAATGAAAGTTGGCAAGGTCCAATGGGAAGGAGGGAGTACGTTTTAGTGAAAGTATGGAAATATTGGTCTTTACACAACTTATAAAGACATACAGTTATAGCATTATTACATAAGAGCAGACCAAACAATGAAATACGTACTGCCGAAAGTTTATACCCACCAACCAAACACTGGAATATGAATTCTTTCTCTAATCGTTATACCCCTCCAAAGTGGCTGAAAATGCTAGAGTACAAATAGGTGTCAGAATCCTCTTTACGAGTTGTTGCAAAATTTAGGCTTTACTGAAGCCTCTGTCCGGCTTCCAAGAAGCCCCATTTGGGCAAAACAAGGACTATAAAGCTTTTTCCTAAAACAAAGAATATCTTCAGTGCCTAAGTGAGGGCACTCATTCAACTCTATTTAAATCATTACCTTCTCTATTCAGTTTTGCTTAATTTGAACTGCATAAAATTTAAAGTAGCTTATTTTTCTAAGGAGAAATATATAAATGAAACACGTAACTTTGTTTCTCTTTTACCAATAATTTGACAAAACTCGTGGTACATTCATTCAAGGCATACACGATGAAAAATATAGCTATCATATTCCATGATATGCGTGACAATGTTCCAATATCAATCCAGTAATTGGGACACAAACTGTCTCAACACATTGTCCTCTTATGTCATGCAGGTGGATCTTATGATGGTGCCGTTTCAATATTTCATCTCATTATATGTCCGTTGCAAAGAAGTTGCGGCGTGAAGTCCTAGAGGTTTGTGATGAATACTACCCCATAGTAACTTGGGGGATTATTATGTGGATGATTGACAGTGATTTGTAATTTTCAACAAATGCTGATGGAGAATATGTTGAAATTTGAAAATATTAAAAATAGGACAGGTCTTTTCCAGACTTAAACCAGCCCAACCTGATACCAACGATTGATCTTCCTCCCTTCAAATAACAATATAACATTATATCTCTTTCTGATCCCAATTAAAACCCCACCCGACCTGGCCAGATCCCACACATGGACCTGCCACTGCCTGGGTGTAACTTTCATCAGAGAGCACAGTTACTAATATAACTGAGGATATGGTGCTTTGGGCATAGAACATCGAGATGAACTGTAAAGACATGTATGTGGAAGGATATTACTGATTTTTGACAAACATAATATCATATAGTGAAGAACTGATATTACTTTCAGATAGGCAAAGCACATTTCGTTAAAACATGTAACTAGCTTGACATTCTGCACTAATCAATTTTAAATTTTTAATTGTTAAATGGATCCACTATCCTTAAAGCTAACAAATGAATATCTTACTAAGTAATTTAACTTATCTCAATGAAAAACTACAAACGAGCTGCTCGTAATTACAACAGTATCCTGCCAATTGGTACAGAAGATAACCTCATTTGAGCAATTCAACAATGAATAGTGAATCCCATAAACACAAAGGCCACTCTAATTGCAAAGCAACCAAAACACTTAGGTAAATCAAAAAGGTGAAAACTTCAATAAGATAAGGAAATCTGATGGGGGCTGGGTGAAAAGTGGAGACATTCAAAACCTTGAGTACACTGTTTGCTCCTGCGGATCTTCGCGTCTTCATGTGGAGAAGCAATCAAGAAAGGCCTGTGTCCTTCTGAATCCTGATATCTGGTCGGAGCGCCACTCACCATGGGTATTGGTCGGACAAAACGGCCGATCATACAATTCCATAAACCGCCCATAGTATAAAGAAGGGAGAGTTTTGAAATTTACAGTACGATCCGTTCGATTCAAAATTTTATTGTTACGGATGAGGGGCGACAGCCCAGCTATTCCATCTGAGGCTGCACTCTGGACACTACAACTTCTCTGTACAGGAAGGATGACATAGTTTTAGTGGCCTTCGTCTTTGAGCTCAGGTATAAAAGGGGAAAGGTGCACATCTTTCCCTTTATTTCTGAAATGTGTAAAAGTATAAATTTACTTTTATTCATTTTAAATAAATAAAATACGTAGTAAATTTTAAAAGGAATTAAAAATAAATTATAAAATTAAAATTAAATTTGAAAAAAAACTATCGAGTACTTGTGTTCAATTTCCTCTTTTATTATATTTATATATCAGAATTTAATATTGTTAGTATAAAAAGTTGTCTTGAAATTTTACTATACACGTAGTATTTTTATTCTTTTAGAAAATTGTAAACATATGTGTTGCAGTGTACAAATATTATTAATTTTTTTTATTACTTTACAATATGGAATTACATTATTTGAATGATGATAAATAGTCAAAGATTACAATGTAGTGAATTTATAAGTTTAAACAAAACCAAAAAATATATTATTTCAAAAAAATGTAAAAATGTGTTTGAAATTTTGCAAAAGACTAAAGTTAATATGATGGTATTTATGGACATTTTTTTTATTGAGAGAAATGCTTCATTTACCAAGGAAAAATAATAATTTTAAAATTTAAAACTAAGAAGTTAATATTTTAACATAAAAATCTTTATAATTCACAATTTATTTATTTTTTTCAATTTTAATATTTTTTTTTCAGATTAAATTAATTATTTTGTAAAAATTTATTTTATTTTCAGAGTAAAATAAGTAAATTTGATCATTTTGGGAAAAGGCGGATCCGCCGTTTTTGGCGTTTCAAAGGATATTATAAAATGAAGGTTATGGTTGGGCCCATAAAGGGTGTGCGCGGAGGCTTTCAAGAGGTGGATGAAGGAGATATTACGTAAGGCTTTGTTAGATTGGAGTGGATTTTAATGATGAGTTGTTGAGTAGGATATGCATACTTGGGCCAAATGAACTCAATGTGTAGAAGAAAATTCTTTATGGCGGATTTGCAATTGCTTAAAAAAAAGCACTTCTCAATTAAAAAGCACTTATTTATCAAACATTATCAATTTTTTACTCTACAACAATTTTTAAGTCTATACCAGGATCCTCGGCACTCCATCATCGCCGCATGCCTCATCATTGATGGATACCTTCCCTTGATCCTGGTAACCGGTGGCCGTTTTCTCGCTGGTCGTAGTGTCGGGCCTGCCGGCTGAGTGGCCACCCCACATATTCCTTCAATGGAAATAATGGCCAATAAGGCAGCTACTTTTGGACGGAACACTATGTTAAGGATATATTAGGAATTAGTAAAATATAGTGACTGTACTAAGTAAATTGGGGGCTGTGTATAGAATTACCCTTATATATATACTCATCAAAACTTGTTGAGGTTTATATCTTCAACCCGTAGGCCCAATACGTAAGCTTATGGATTTCGAGTGGATGGTGTATGTGAATACGGGAAAATAGCAAATACGGGAAAATAGCAAGTAAGATGGGCTTGGAGATGTATGCAATAGTGGGAGGCCGTGCGTCTTCTAGCTGTTGGTGCAGGATTACGCTGGCTAGCCTTGGGCTAACACTCCTCGAGCTGACAGCCTGGGGCGAAGACGTACGTCGTATCTGCCTTGGGCCCTAATGTGTACGTAGTTACCACCAGTTCGCTGGGGACGTCCGTCTGGACCTTCTTCCCTGTTGGGCTTTAGACGTTCGTCCGAGGAGGGGGTTAATGGGCCAATTCCCAGTATTGGGCCATTAACCTAACAAAATTCTTTCTTAAAACAATCTTATTTAATTATTGTCTAAATAATATGGAGTATGTAGTCTATATAATGAGAAACTTATTCCCCTCTTAGGTGGTACTACATTATAATAATTCTACATATCTGTTTCAAGTGGGAATGTGCGATTTCCCCTTTTCTCTTTCTCCATGAATCAAGTATCAAACGTTAAAATATGTCCAAAGTTCAAATTTCAAAACAAGATATATCACGATTGATCATAATAATGAATTTATTATTATGTCAACCATACTCTACGTACAGACCAAAGACTACACTGAATTAACATCGCTTGGTAAGAGTTAAAAATGAATAATATAACATACATGTGTTAATCACAACCCAAACATGACTGATGCCAAATAAAATGATCGAGGGAAAGGGAGGAAAAAATAATAATGTCCAGTCTATTCATCAGCTACTACATCCAGGTGTGTACGTTTCTCTGCAAACCACCACTATTTATTCTCCTAATCTCTCTCTTAATATCTTCACCCCCATGTACCTGTGTCACAATCAATTACATTCATACATTCATTATTGACATATTATATGTAACATATAGAGTCCCAAAACATATCTAAATTTAAGCTACTTGTCTTGTTTATTATATGTTGGAACTATTTAAGAACATACATGTATGTGACAAAAATTCCTACATGTTTGTGAAGTTTTGAGCTACTTGTCTTGTTTATTACTCATAACAATTAAAGATTTTTAGAGAAATTTGTTGACTCGTTCCATAACATATGTTTTCACTCATTATTATTAGAAAATTGTCCTAAATAGAAATAAAAACATGTGTAATAGCGAGCACATATATAGTTAACTTATAGCATTAAATTGAAACATTTCCAAAGATGTTGGTTTGATCAATATATATAGCTTACCGGCCCATCATCATGAGGGTGGCTTGAGGATTTGTGCCCGGAGATTCGGAGAGGATGGAGCCATCAACAATGCGGACTCTATTGACACCGAGAACTCGATAATCGGGTGTGACGACCTTCCCCACACGGCATCCACCGTGGTAGTGCCATATTGTGACGACAGTATCTTTGCAAAACTGTTCAAGAGACCGGGAATCATTTGTGTGTCTAGGTATGAGGTTAACGTTAGCCTGGGCACTCATGTTGAGCAACTTGTCCAGTGTGTCCTTATCACATTGTGCATAATTTGTGACGCGTTTGGACTTCACGATCTTCTCGACAATGCGGATTCCTTCGACACATTTCTTGAGATCTTCGGGATGATTGAAGTAGTTGAATGTGACAGAAGGGTTGTCATCAACATTGGTGTTTTTGATCATAAGATGTCCTCTTGATAAGGGTCGTGCAAGCTTCTCTAGTATGAAAGCTCCTTTGAATACTTCATGGGGGAGATTCTTCTTGCTGCGCCTGAAAGCTTCAATTGCTTCATTTGTTCTTTGCTTTGGAGGAATGGTTGAAAGTTGTCCTATCTGCATTACATCAAGAAAATGCACCAAAAATGTCTACTTTAGATAATACTATCGTACATAGTATCAACGAAACAAGCAAAATAATGTGCCCAGTATTCCTTAATAAAAAAATATACATAAGAAAATCATAGCATCAACATTTAGGATGTTGACTTATTTCAATCCCAGATAAGATCAGACTTAAACAGACCAGAACATATTAAGCAGTCTAGACAAGATCACACAAGACTTCGACAGTTATAAAATACACATGACCAAACATCTACCAGACCAAACTAGTTCCGATCATACTAGACCATACTTAATCAAATCACATCAAACCATACCAAACCAGAAAATTCAAGTCCAATAAAAAACATTCTTAACTTTGTAGTTACTAGTAATTTAAGACAACCTTAAAAAACGCAAATTGCAAATCTTTTAAGCTGAAATTTACTGGTCTAATCTTATCTGGTTTGGTCTGGTCTGTTTAATTCTGGTTTGATTTGGTATATTTAAATCTGGTATGGTCTGGTATGGTAAATTTATGGTAAATTTCTGGTGTCTGTGTATTTTATAACTATCCACGTCTATTCTGGTCTAGTCTGTTTACGTCTAATCAATCTAGTCTGATCTGTTTAAGTCTGATTCGATTTAATCCGGTGTGCCAGACCCAAAACAAGCCAAAAGAAAACATTCTAATCAACAATGACTAACCTCTGCTGAAGTGATACCATGATCACAGTGAATGCTATCTTGGGACTGCCCAAACCCATTGCTAGCCTCAATGTACACTCCCACCTTAGTGATTCCCACTGTCTGTATAAGAGATGGCGGAACATTATGTTTCAAAGGAACAAAGATTGTGTTCAAAGGGTTATCAGCCATCTCCTTCCCCACGTTTTCATTATCAAACACCACCGGAATTTTCAGCCTTTCCAGCTCAGCCTTTGGTCCGATCCCACTCAGCAACAGAAGCTGAGGGCTCCCTACGGCCCCACTCGACACTATAACCTCACTCCCTTTCTTCCTTGAAAGAAAAGCTTGGTGTTGATTTCCATTTTCATCCCGGAAGATCGCCCCGATCGCCCTCGGCTTCTTTCCCGACGTGTCGAACACGATTCTTTGAACGGTGGCGAAGACGAGAACCTCGAGGTTCCTCGGGTTGGCCGTGGACAGCAGTTCGGCCGCGGTGTGGCGGCGGCCGAACCTGTCAAAGGTTGTCCCGCCGACCTTTGTCCCGTACTTGTGATCGTATGTGAAGCCATTGAAAGGGGAAACGCCGGCTTCCAGGAGACCGTCCCTGAAGGCTTGTTGCCAAGATGTCACCTTTGGTTTGTGTACAATTTGCTTCTCTACCCAAGGGTAGGATTCATTCACCACATTTGCATCCCATCCCATTTCCTTGATAAAACTACACCAAGAAATCAAATTACATCATAAATACAACAACTTTTAAAAAAGACTGAATGATTGACAAGAAATTTAAATAATGTGGCAACACTAATTTGAAACAGCGAGATCCAAATGCATAAATGATACCTTATTTTTTTTCTTCTTTTTTCTTCTTCTTTTTCTTCTTAAGGTATGCATAAATGACACCTTAATTATTAGTACTGTTGTGTTTTGATACTTTAACTTTTAAATAAATCGATTCAGTGTCATAATTATACATCATTTACAGTATTATTCAAATTTCTAGCCAAAAACTCATACAACTGATACAAGATAAGTGAAATATTATGTGTAAAGTCTACTTCACCTTAATTTTGTGCATGTCATCATGGTAGGGTGGACTGTATACATGGAATATTTATATCCATGTAGGATTTGTTTGTCGCAAATTTAAATAATAATCTCAATTGAAACATTTATGATACTTATTTGATACTTATGATACGAAAATGTAACAATACTAATATCTTAATATCATGTATGCGTTTCACGTGGATGATGAGTTGACCAAATCCAAACAAGATGAGACTCAACCAGAAAATCAAGCCATTAAAAGTTTGGGTAATCGGATAATCAGTTTGTTGTTGTTCGGATGGAACTTGAAAAGAAGTGTGGTAAGAAGGGAGAATTGTTGTGAGGTTGGCGGCATAAATGAGGGTGGTTGTGAGGCGGTGTAATTGAACACATTGGGCGGTTGTGAGTACATTGCACCACTGTACAATAACCCGAAATGTCCCATTTTCCCCTTTAATACCAATAATGTATTCCCTATAGATTGAATCCCATCTCTTCCCAAAGCAAGAAATTATCAGAAAATTGGCATCACATGTGAGACCCAGCCGCCCGCCCAACCCGCCCACCCGCCCACCCGCCCAAATGGTACAAGTGGGCTTTAATTAATTCATATCAAACGGTGGTGGCTATCGTGTTTTTCACGATTTAGAGCCCGTTTGGCAACACTGTTTTTCGGCTTATCAGGCTTATCAATCAACTTTTTCACCAAACACATAACTTTTGGTTTCGCGCGCTGAATTGTGTAATAAACATAAAATGTAAGGTTGAAGTTACTTTTCTGGCTGTATTGGCTGAATTTACTGTAGATAACCATTTTAGCTATTTTTACATATAATTTTTTCTTTATTTTATTAATAAAATATATTTTAAAAATAAATTTTTTCTTTAATCAGCAGAATCAGCCAATGCAGCTACTTCAGCCAAAACTTCGTAAATTTCAATAGAATCAACCAAAATCAACCGATTTTCGTGCTACCAAACATGCTCTTAGAGCATCTCCAATCCTATAATGTCCACGGTGCACATGTGGCATGAGTAATAGCCACACAAATGTTAACAAATAAATTATTTCTCTCCTTATTTGAATGATTTCATACAATTTTGGTAAGTTTTTCCCTGCAATGGCAACAACAATGTCAACATCTAGACGGTCTCCTTGACAATGTGGAGAAAAACTTACCAAAACTGTATAAAATCATTCAAATAAGGAGAGAAAGAATTTATTTACTAATATTTATGTGGCTATTTTTCATGCCACGTGTGTACCGTGCACATTTTACCATTGGAGATACTCTTAATCTTACATATGTACAATCAGAAATGGTACCATAATTAATACACATATAGCCCAACATTGGAGATACTCTTAATCTTACATATGTACAATCAGAAATGGTACCATAATTAATACACATATAGCCCAACAGTGAAATTTTTGCGGTTCAGTTATTATATATTGGGGACAAGAAAATAAGCTTATGTACCACAACATGTGTACATCGAAATTAGACTTTATACACTATGATCCAAATTAAGCTTTTGACTTCTATCATATAAGCTGTCAAAAACATGTAAATTAAATATCTAACTTCGATATACATAACATAAAAGAACAAATTTGAGTAAAACACACAGACAAAGTTCATGCATAAGATTAACTTTATTTTATTTTCAAAAAATGAATTACTTAGCACAGACCTAATAAAAGAAGGGAAAATTGAAATTTAGTCTTAGTAACTCTCAGCTAAGCCTATTATTAGTCCTGTAACTTTACTCAGTTGCAGATTTGATCTTGCAATTAAAAAATCTTTGCAGACGGGCTTTTTCATCGGAAAGTAGTACGTATACTTTCCGGCCATAAAATCTCTGGAAAATATGTCACTGGCGTCGAGCTTTCTGCCGGAAAGATTGTATTCCGGTGAAAAAAGATCTTAAATTGCAAAGATTTATTAGTTACGGTGGTGCGGAATCTGGAACTCATGCAATAAAATTATAAATTTATAAGAGCAAAACATTTACACGATTTTCCTCACACGTTTTAAAATAAGGATAACCATCAAAATGTGACAAACCGTGGGAAAAAATCATAACATGGATCATATTCATCTTAAAAGGCTGTATTTAAAATATATGCCTAGAGATGCAAAACACAATTATTAGGGGATATAATATAGAGAAATTTGGAGAAGCTTATTAATTTGGTAAATTAAAGCTAATATGTTCGTGGGGGTGAATGGGGTGATGATGCCTAGTGATTCCTAAAAAGTGAAAACACAATTTCTTAAAACATTTGTCTCACGCCAGAAAGTTATAAAACAATTAAACACTATATTTAAACACTATATAAGGTTTTGGACTACTCCTCCTATCACCTTTTAGGATGAAACCCAGGTTTTAACCTTCAGTATAAATGAGATAGATAAGATAATGACGTGTATATACAAAACTACAAAAGCTAGAGTGATATGACTAATTTTCATGCATGCATACGTAGTAGTAATATTATTGGTAAATTGCGTGAACCAATTGAAGATGATTGGTATGAATGAAGATTTTAATTTGTCAAAAACATGCTTGTTTGATGGGGACTGCGTCGTCACTCTGTAATAGCAATTGCCTTAGCTAGCTAGTGCATATACTTGTTTTGGAAAAATTGCTATAAAACTCCAAGATACCTTTCTGAATTTTATTATGTCACGATTTTGAATTTAGTTACCTCCTTTTTTTTCGTGTCCTACTTTTCCTATTTCATCGTGATTTGAAATTGCTGAAAACATGTATAAAGATATTATTATTGTTACTATTGTGTATTATGTTGTAATACGGAGGTACGTATTTCTTTTTGTATTACATTTATTAAATTACTAATTGCATAAATTATTTTACTCTCTTAAAACTAAACTCCTCTTAGAAAACTCTAGCTTTATTTGAAGAAGGAATTCCGTAGTCAGACTACTGTTATTATACCTTGTACGATAGTAGAAAAAGAAAATTTAATTACCAACCCTTTGGAGAAAATGCTGTAAGTACTTACTGACTCACACATTTATGGATTGTCAAAAAAAAAACTCACACATTTATGGACTACGGTTGGAAGCCACCGTTCGCCGACTAATACCCCACAGCCCACACCCACCCGTTTCAGTGTTTCACCCTCCAAATAATATCCTCCGGTATATATAATTTGTTTAATTACTTAATAATTACTAAGAATATTCTTTTTCCAGTCTTAAAAGGTGGAACGATTCCCCATTAACTAACAATAGAACCATTTACTGAGTCTTCATTTTAAAAGAAAGAAAAAACTAAGTCTTCCTTAATAATTTTAAAAATACCATTTTAAAAATAATTAAGGATACTAGCTAATAATTAATAACAATTAATTTTACACTATTATCTTCTTTTTTAATTATCATGAATATTTAATTAAAATAAAATCGACCAAATTATTATTATTATTATTACAATAAAAATATAATAGTCATACTTCAAACATAGTTACTGGCTAGTGCATTTTAGTAACGTTAAAGACAGCAATTTCTTATCAAATGAACTCTACTTTCATCATGTTATTAATTACGGAGTAACCCGAATTGAATGAAATCTGCCACGCAAGATTGAATAAGAATCGAGATCGTGTTGTTGGCTTCAAAAATATTCTAAGCGACTGGTATTAATATAAAAGTACGGATAATAAACAAATAAATGAATAAATAATTAAATAAATAAATAAATACCTTGGGCTAGCTCTAGTATAGAAGCCAGCATTAATGGCGGTACCACCCCCGAGAACTCTCGCCCTCGAATTGTACACCCCGTCGGTGGAGACGAACACCTGCGACGCCGACGACGGCGAGGTGTCCGCCAGCGATATATGGAAGTTCTCCAGGAACGACACGTTTGCGTTCCCGAACGGCACCCCGCCCCTCTCCAGCAGCAGAACACTGAACTTCTCCGACAGAGTCGCCGCCAGGGGACACCCCGCCGTCCCGCCGCCCACTATGATGTAATCGTACGCCTTGCTTCCTCCACCCACGGCGGCGTTCGACGCCGACGGCGAGGATGCCCCCGAGGAAGAGTACGAGCCTGCGTATTTTATGAATGGGTATTTATCCCTCCAGAAATTCTCCCTCCCACCTGCAAAAAAAGCAGAAAGATTTAAACTTTTTCAATCAAGAAACAAGAACCCGGAATATAAGTTAAGAAAATTTCCATCTTTCCAATAAAGATCCTTCCTTTATTCCTTATATTGATAATTGAGAGCTCTAATCTTTTGAGTTGACTTAGAGAATCAGACTTAGTCCGGCCATGTAAGAAACTAACCGTGTGTGAGGCATAGAAGTGAGGAGGAGATCAGAAGAAGTAAGAGTGGATGCCCAACCAGAGCCATGGACAGATGACTCAATCCTCAGATAACAGCGGACGGATTCCGAGGAGATCCAACGGCGCAACTCTCTGGATCTCTCTTTCTATCTCAAGCTATTTCACTCTTGATGTGGCTTATGCTGGTTGGGCCTTCTTTTTCTATATTTTTCTTTCTTTTTTTGGGACTGTATTTCTGCTATTTCACACACTAATATTATGTGCTCACAGAGAAATAAGTAATGTTGCCTTCCCAACACAAAAAGGAAGTACAAACTCTGTGTATATATACTTAGTGGTACAAAAAATACTTCAAAAGTCTTGGGTAGCCAGCCAGCTAGCTAGCATTCAATAACGGACCTCAACAGTTTTTGCATATAGGATTAGGTGCAAATATGAAGAATACCATCCATTTGTATTAAGTTCAAAGATATACCAAAGAGGCAATAAGAACCCTCGTCCATTTGGGACGATTAGATTGAAAGTAATAACAATCAAATTCATAGTGAAATCTCTACTGTGTGATGCTAAAAGCCTAAAACATTCTCTTTACAATGTAGTCCCTCCGCCCCACTATATTTGGGATAAGGTGTGGCAAACTCTTAAAAAAGTGGAATTGTGTGGTTGGTATTGAATTGATAACGTGTGAATAAAGTAAGAATGAATTGTAACCACCCAAATATTACCAAATATGGTACGAGACAACCTTAATGGGACGGACGAAAAAGGTAAAACGGGACAAAGTCAGTGAGACAGAGGGAGTATATATTTAGAAAATGTTTGGGGTTAGAATGACATTTTCATAGAGTCTTGGGTGTTAAAATGAAGGGAAAACTGTCACATAGGTCCTCGAACTTTCATAAAAAAAGTCAATTAAGTCCTTCTATAAGAGACTCTATCCGGTCGTCGCGATTTGGGGTGGTTCCCAGTGGAATTTTTTGATGAAATTTTTTGAGCATATTATTCATCAGGTCTAGTTTACTCATACCAAATTTCAGCTAAAAATTTAATCGGGAGCACATTCAAATTAATTCGAGAACGCAAAAATGCGCAGTTATTTTCAAGAATTAATTTGAATGTGTTCCCGATTGAATTTTTAGCTAAAATTTGATATGAGTAAACTAGACTTGGTGAATAAGATTCTCAAAAAATTTCATCAAAAAATTCCACCGGTAACAGCCCCAAATCGCGACAGCCGGACAGAACCTCTTATAGAAGGACTTAATTGACCTTTTTATGAAAGTTCGAGTACTTATTTGACAGTTTTCCCTAAAATGAATAAACCAAAGAATTCCAAACTGAAAAGGAGCAAAATCATGAAGAAGTAGAAGAAGAAGAAGAAGAAACACACATTCATATACTTGAATGTGTTTTTGTCAAACTTGGTGCCAAATATTAGATGAACAGAATATATAACTTGGTGCATGATATGCCAAACTAGCGCTAGTATTTGAGCAAAACAACATCCCAACAAAACTTCCTAAAACCATCATCATGAATCATGCTTTTAAGAGAAATTGTGTCCAAGGACCAAACCGGTGCCATGTATACCAAATCTGGCTTCGAGTGTACTGTGATTTCATCAAAACAAAATGACGAAGATGATATTTTCATTGAGGAATGAATGATTTGGAGAATGACTAAAAAATCATTCCATAGTTATTTAAGATCATTAGTATACTAAAAGATATGGAGTATCAAATTTTAGCCTAATTATTTAACACCTCTTTTCACAAAGGAACTATCACTCAATCTATCATTCATTCCATCAAATTAATCAAAACTTGTTAAAAAAGATTCATGTTACATTGTAGAGTTCACGATGAGCTAGGAGGAGGATCAAATAATTTCATGTTATTTTACTTTACAGTACTCTATTTGGATAAATGTGAGCATTAGAGGCAAACCCTACAACAACAAATGTAAAATCCTTCATAATAACATTAGAAGTAGCAAGTCTTGGGTAGCCAGGCTAATTTTTGGCAATTCAATGTTTTTTCGTTGTTTCATCAAGTTGCGAAATCAAATACGAAGTATAACCATATTGATCATCACTTAACTTACATAGCTCTTCAAGAACAAGTATATATGAGCCATAATATGTGCCGTAACATATTAACTAGTGAAACAATTTCCACATAAGTAAAATAATACTCCGTAACAAACATATACGGATCGGAGTACTATGTAGAACAACTACGTCACCTATTGAATCCATGAACTGCATTTCCTCAACTATTAGGTTGTAGCCAAAGTTGTGTTAAAATCCAATGCCTCAACCATACGAGGAGTTAAACAACTCCTATATAGGTCTAGAATATGACCTACTATGCTAAAGGTGGTAACTTAGTTGCAGTAATCTAACGAGGATTGCAAGAATACCTATTGCTATATAGGGTTGTTTCGATCTGATTCTTAAAACTGGAGCTGGAGTGTTTGGGTGAAAGTGCAGAAGTGATTCAGGTGCTCTAATTTACTCCTAGAATCAGTTTTTTTCAGAAATTGAGGGGACCAGCTTCTGAAAACTAATTCTGATTCTACTACTGCTTTAAAAAAGAAGCAGATTCAATCAGTTCCAAACACTCCATATTTCACCGAATTCAAGATTTGGAATCCCACAATATGTCCTTCTATCATGGTCTAATATTGATTTGAATTCACAGACTATTACCTAATGGCCAGAATCTATCTATATATATATTAAGTCACTTAAGTGTGTTTCCCGCTCAAGAATATGGGCCTTTTTGTAAATTTGTAAGTGCTTTCCATTCTTCCCATTGACGCTAGCGTACTCTAGGGACTTTTAACGCTTCTAGCTCTTCCCTGAACGGCTGAACCTGTAATCTCCATTACAGCTCTCTCGATTTCTCTCGTGAGCCTCTGATTTCCTCTCTTCTTACGCAAACAACTGGGATTATTACGTACGTCTTTAGCTCTGCGATTATGCTTATGGATGCTCTGAGATTTTCATACAAAGTATATATTTGAGAGAATTTCTGATTTATCCCACATCAACGATTCTGTTTTCTACTAACAATTTTGGAGACTCCATCTCAATCAATTTTTGCAGTATTGGTTAGTATTCTATCTCAAATCTAACTCTTTATATTTATATAGGGGGTGTTTGGAACTGATTCTGCTTCTGCTTCTTTTTTAAAGCAGAAGCAGAATCAGAATCAGTTTCCAGAAGCTGGTACCCCCAGCTTCTAAAAAAACCGATTCTGAGAGTAATTTAGAGCACCAGAAGTGAGTCTGGAATTTCACCCAAACACTCCAGCTTCTGGTTCTGCTCCCTGAAGAAGCAGAATCAATTTTGAGAATCAGATCCAAACACCCCCATATTTTACATGCCATATTATAATCTGAATTTCCCCCCTAGATTTCATCAATAACCCTAGATTTAGATGAAAGTGTGAGCGATTTCACAAGCTAGAATCATAGAGTTGAGCATTGGGAATGATAGATAAACGAGAAAACCAGATTTATGTTTGAAACACTGATTTTTTTGATTGAAAACTTGATGCCGATTCGAGACCAAAAGTTTGTCTTTGGACATTTTCTGTTCTAAATACACATCATTTTGAAATCACCAAAGGGGTTCTAAGTCTCTAGAATATATAAAGTATATCTTATATTGACAGAATTTAAAAATAAAAACAAACACGCTCATTCTTTAGTCCGTAAAAAGTTTTTCATTTCACTTTTCATTTGGTCAAAGTGATTCCTTTTTCACTTATTTTAGGTGTCAAATTTTTTTGTTCAAACCCATTTTTGTGTTGTAATAAACCTTTTAGCATTATGGGAGAGTAGTAGCCAGTAGGGTTATGATACACTGCATATCTCCTTATTATTGAGTGTATTTTGCCTCTATTGCATACTCTGCATATTAGCTTCTAAAACATGGTTGACATCTATTATAAGAAACCTATGACTTTTTCTATTTCGTGTGCGTGGATTATGTAAAATACACATAAATCAATAAATAAAAAGGAGAAAGATACAAAAAAGTAGAGGTATTGTAAGCGATTTCACAAGATGGAATGAACCAGTATAAATATAATTCTGATATGAGAGAAATAGTTGAGCCCTAAGAATGGAAGAAAAATGAGAGTTAAGTATGAAATTAGATTTATGTTTAATTTATCTAAGTGTTTGAAATGTTGATTTTTTATTGAAAACTTGATGCCGACTCTTTTCCATCATTATTTTTTGGATTGAAAATATGAAGGAATAAAGAAAAATGGCTCACTAAACTGTCTGCGCTTCTTAGTTCATGCAATTTCGCGATTTTCACTATGGGTCATCCTGAAACAGTTTCTATGTGCTTTAGTACATAGGTAAGATTGCGTGCATCCGACCCCCCTTTACCCCACCGTAGGTGGGAGCCTTTGCAGCACTGGGGTAAATGAAAATGATGAAATGATGATGAAAACTTGATGCTGACTCGAGACCAGAAGTTTATCTTTGGACATTTTTTGTTCTAAGTACACATAATTATGAAATCACCAAAGGGGCTCTAAGCCTCTAACTGCCAAGTGTTTGAAATATTTGATGTTTAATGTCTTCTTCAATTTCCAAACTCTCTATTATAAACCGGTTTTTATCTAAGAGTAGATTGGAATTGCATCTTTCACAGTGGAATAGAATACACTAATCTGCTTTCGTGCATTAGCTCTCATTATCATTGAATATCAAAAGTCATAAATGTAAAAAAGAAATACATAAAAACTATTATATATAGTCATAAGGAAGCATCACAGACTTAAGGAAAAAGTTAATGACATAGCTTCCTAAAAATGGTTGACAATTATTATAAAAACTTATGACAATTTCTATTTTTTGTGGCTTATGTAAAATATTATAAGGGCAAATAGTTGCTGTGATTTTCTTTTGAGTATTAGGGGAGAAATATTAAAGCTCCCCCCTTACTTATTTTTTTTCTTGCTTTATTAATGAGTGCACTTTGCCTCTGCATACTTTACGAATACTTTGCTTTTAGCATTAGTTTTATTTGATGTTTAATGTCTTATGTGATGCTTAACGCCTGCTTAAGTTTGGAAACCCTTATTACGCATTGGTTCTTCTTTAAGAGAAGATTGCATCTTTCATAATGGAAATTCAAATTTTGGTCATTTTGTACGAAGTGAATTTTCATAAGATCATTATTTTTTACACTTCAGAAAGTTATATCTGACAAAAAATGAAAAGTTTTAAGAAAGGGATCAAACAGCTTCCCGAACATTTAAGAGCATTTT